GGACCACACAGGACAGACCTGGACCACACAGGATAGGACAGGACTGCACAGGAAAGGACAGAACACAGGACAGACCTGGACCACACAGGACAGGACAGACCACACAGGACAGACTCAGACCACACAGGACAGACCTGGACCACACAGGACAGACCCGGACCACACAGGAAAGGACAGGACTGCACAGGACAGGACACAACACACAGGACAGACCCAGACCACACAGGACAGACTCAGACCACACAGGACAGACCCGGACCACACAGGACAGGCCCAGACTACACAGGACAGGTCAGGACCACACAGGACAGACCTGGACCACACAGGACAGACTCAGACCACACAGGACAGACTCAGACCACACAGGACAGACTCAGACCACACAGGACAGACCCGGACCACACAGGACAGGCCCAGACTACACAGGACAGGTCAGGACCACACAGGACAGACCTGGACCACACAGGACAGACTCAGACCACACAGGACAGACTCAGACCACACAGGACAGACTCAGACCACACAGGACAGACCCGGACCACACAGGACAGGCCCAGACTACACAGGACAGGTCAGACCACACAGGACAGGCCCGGACCACACAGGACAGGACAGGACTGCACAGGACAGGTCAGACCACACAGGACAGGCCCGGACCACACAGGACAGGACAGGACTGCACAGGACAGGACAGAACACACAGGATAGACCTGGACCACACAGGACAGACTCAGACCACACAGGACAGGACAGGACCACACAGGACAGGACAGACCACACAGGACAGACCCAGACCACACAGGACTGACCCAGACCACACAGGACAGACCTGGACCACACAGGACAGGACAGGACCACATAGGACATGACCACACAGGACAGGACAGGACCACACAGGACAGACCGGACTGCACAGGACCATCCTGGACCACCCAGGACAGGCAGGACACCCAGGACAGGTAGGGACTGCATGGACTGGCAGCTCCCCTGCAGGGGCACCTGTGCAGCCAATGGGCACAGCACCCTTGGCAGACGTGGTGGGACTCATGGCATGTGTGTCCACACCACCCTGTGCTCAGCCCAGCCAGCGGCAGTGACCACCTGGGGCCTCAAGAGGCCAGCGCGGCCCCGCAGACTCTGCCCTGGGACCCCGCCCGTGGACAGCGGGCAGCTGTGGAGGCCAGCTTCTGCGGAAGGCAGTGGACGGCCTGCCAGAGGGTGCGCAAGCCTGGGCCGCGTCCGCGGGCTGCCTGCCAGGCACACAGGTCTTCTGTGGTGTCTCTCACGGAATGTGAATCTGACTACCTGGAACCTGGAAGCTTATTCTTAAAGATCCCAGCCTGGTGCCAGTAATCCTAGCTACTCAGGAGGCTGAGATCTGAGGATCTCGGTTCAAAGCCAGCCCAGGCAGGAAAGTCTATAAGACTCTTATCTCCAATGAACCACCGGAAGACCAGAAGTGGCACTGTGACTCAAGCAGTAGAGCGCTCGCCTTGAGCTGAAGAGCTGAGGGACAGCACCCAGGACTAGAGTTCAAGCCCCATAACTGACAAAAAAAGATCTGCCTCCCAGGAGCCCCCAGGGGGTGGCCTGTTGAGCTGTGTGACAGCAGTAGGCCTGGCCTTCACCTGGACTCCACACCAGGGTGGACGGGGGGGGGGGACACGCACGGGGCCCGGCCTTCACACGGATCCACACCAGGGTGGACAGGAGGAGGATACTGTGTCGGGACCGCTTGGGAACAGGCCTTGGTTATCAATTAACCGACTCCTTTAAATCAGGAAGGAGCTGTCCCCGGAGGAGCGCCCGAGCCGCTCTGCGTCCTGCGGCCAGCCCGCCCCCGGGAGCCCTCTGGCATGGCGCAGGCCGGGGAGCCGGGCCCACCTGCGGAGGACGGCGGGGACGAGAGGCCAAAGTGGGACAACAAGGCCCAGTACCTCCTCAGCTGCATCGGGTTCGCCGTGGGGCTGGGGAACATCTGGAGGTTTCCGTACCTGTGCCAGACCTACGGGGGAGGTAAGCAGGCCCGGCCGGCCGCCGCACCCTGCGGGGAGGACGGCGCCCGCACACCCCTGTCCTGGGTGCAGTCTACTTCACTACTGCACACCGAAGGCCCGCTGCCACTGAGCCCCTCCCAGGCAGCTTTAGGGCCCCGCACTCCCACACGGGCCAGGCAGGACCCCAGGTCTGCCTGCCGGTGCTGCTGCTGCTGGACGCACCGGTGGCCGCCTGCTGACCCCGCGTCCCACGGGGGCCTCCCTCGTCCCCTACCTCACCGCCTGCTGACCCCGCGTCCCACAGGGGCCTTCCTCATCCCCTACCTCATCGCCCTGGCTTTTGAGGGGATCCCGCTCTTCCACATCGAGCTCGCCATCGGCCAGCGCCTGCGGAGGGGCAGTGTCGGGGTGTGGACGGCCATCTCTCCCTACCTTGGTGGAGTAGGTGTGTACCCGCCTCCAAGACCAACGATGGGAACCCCGGGCGGGCAGAGGCCGCGGCACAGACTGCTCGGGAGGACCGCGTGCCCGTCCGGGCGGGGTGTTTGTTTTGCTCTTGCTCTCACTGTGTGGGGCGCCACCGCGTCCGCAGGCTTTGGCTGCTTCACCGTGTCCTTCCTGATCGGCCTGTACTACAACACCGTCCTCGTGTGGGTCCTGTGGTTCTTCCTCAACTCCTTCCAACACCCTTTGCCCTGGAGCACCTGCCCGCCAGACCTCAACAGGACGGGTGAGGCAGGCAGAGCTGGGCGGTCCTGAGCGGCGCGGGCACGTGGCGGGAAGCTGGGCCCTGCGTCCTACTCGCCATCCCGGGGGGAGCTCAGTGTGAAATCCAGCGCCTCTCGTCTGTGCTCAGCCTCTGCTGGGCTCAGGGCCCCCGGACGCCGGCCACTCCCAGGGAGGTGTCTGGCTTCTGGCAGACATTACCGCAGCCTTGGGCCCCGAGAAGGGAGAGGAAGCAGGGGCAGCACCTCCCACGGGCGCCGAGGCTGCTGGGACATGGGACCCGCTGGGGAAGCGGCGGCCTGGGCCTCCTCTGAGCACGGGGCCCCTGGGAAGGCCGGCGGCCTGGGCCTCCTCTGAGCACGGGACTCGCTGGGGAAGTGGCGGCCTGGGCCTCCTCTGAGCACGGGACTCGCTGGGGAAGTGGCGGCCTGGGCCTCCTCTGAGCACGGGACCCGCTGGCGAGGCCGGCAGCCTGGGCCTCCTCTGAGCACGGGACCCGCTGGCGAGGCCGGCAGCCTGGGCCTCTGGGCAGCACAGCTGTGGCGGCAGTGTGGCTACCCTGGCTCCAGGGCCAGCCGGTGACCGCCCGCCTGGCCGCAGGGTTTGTGCAGGAGTGTCAGGCCAGCAGCACCGTGAGCTACTTCTGGTACCGGCAGACGCTGAACATCACAGCCGACATTGGCGACAGCGGCGTGGTCCAGTGGCAGCTGCTCCTCTGCCTGGTCACCTGCTGGATGGTTGTGTACCTGTGTGTCATCAGAGGTATCGAGAGCACTGGGAAGGTGAGCCACGGGCCGGGACCCTTCCCCCCTCCCCAGGACCTTCCCAGGCTGCTCTGAGCTCCGGTGAGGCCTGGCTCAACACACTGCTGTGTCTTTCCAGAGGACCGGTCCTTCCATCCTCCTGGACCCTGTGATGTCCCGCTCTGGGGCTCGTCGATGTTGGCCAGCCCAGCTCTCTTTAAACCACCTTAGCATATCTCCTCACCTAGATACACCATGCTGGAAGTGTGTCTCCTGGAGGCATCATTTAATCACATCTTTTTTTTTTTCTGTCAGTTGAACTCTAGGCCTGGGTGCTGTCCCTCAGCTCTTCAGCTCAAGGCGAGTGCTCTACCACTTGAGCCACAGCGCCACTTCTGGTTTTCTGGTGGTTTACTGGACATAAGAGTCTCGTGGACTTGCCTGCCTGGGCTGGCTCTGAACCGCGATCCTTGGGGCTCCGCCTCCTGGGTAGCTAGGGTGACAGGTGTGGCCACGCTGCCTCTACCAAGAGGTACTTGCACGTCACTCAGCGACCGAGCGCTGACCTGGGGAGAGTTCACTCCAGTGCTGCCTCGAGTTCAGTCTGGCCAGCCTGCTCTGTGTCTCTTTTTCCGGTGTAGGACTCTGTACTGCTGTAGTGGCGGCCGGGGCTCGGGGAGCTGGCGTCCCATCCCATCCCATGCTAACCACTGATCCTTGTGTCTTAAGAAGCTCATTGCTCTCTGCTTTCCTCCCTCCCAGCCTTGGCGGTATTCTCATACATTTTGCTTACAAATAAATGGCAGATGATTTTCTCTGTCTTTGTCCTCTCTTTCCTCTTTGTCTCTCCTCTCCCTCCCCCTCTCTCTCCCTCGTTCTCCTCTCCTTTTTTGTCCTTTCCTCTCTCCTTTTCCTCTTCTCGCCCTCTCTTCCTCCTCTCTCTCCCTTTCTTCCTCTCCCCCTCCTTCCCTCCCCCCCCCCAGCACTAGGCACCGTATGCGAGGCTTCGTGCTTGCTGCACAGGTGCTGTCCCGCCAGTGTGCCCCAGCCCCGTTGGACGGGTGATTTTCGAGGTCTTGCGTTTTGTCAGACCAGCCTGGGTTTTGTCATCTTTCTGCTTGTCTTTGTGTTGCTGGGGGTGACAGGCATGCTGGCAGGGGCAGCCATTGATGGCCCTGGCTGGCCTCAAGCCCCAATCCCTGACCTCTGCCTCCACGCGGCTAGGATTGGAAACCCCGGTCTTGCTCGGGGATTCTTCTTCTATAGCAACTTAAGCAGCAGGAACACCAGCATCGCTCTTGACCGCCGCGTGGCTCCGTGGCACCCAGGCTGACCACATCACTGAGCCTGCGCCCCTGCTTGGATTTTGGCTTGGTGCCCTGGGGCCTCTGCCCAGGACCTGGTCACTCTGTGCATGTGCTCAGCCCGCTGCAGACAGCACCACCCCACACTCAGCTCCCCACAAGGACAGGTGGCTGCCAGGTCCCAGAGCAGAAGCGGTAGGCAGGGCCTCTGCGAAGCCTCCAGGGCGCAGGCCGTGAGGGCAGTGCGTCCACCTGCAAACCTTCACCTGTGGTCCTCAGAGCCCAGACGCTGCCCATGCCCAGGGAGGCGGGCACTGTGTGCAGGGGAGGGTTCACAATGCAGCCAGGGCCCAGCCTGCGGCCAGCGGGTATCGAGATAAAGAGGATGGGAGCCACAAGGTCCTGGCTGGGAACACAGAGAGGAGGCTGGAGAGGAGACCAGTGGGAAAGGTCAGAAACAAAGATGCCCAGGGATACCAGGATACTGGGGGGGGGGGCTGGGAAGAAGGGGAGGCTGCAGTGGAGGATGGAAAGGGGTAGGGGAGGCTGGAGGAAAGGGGGAAGGTGGGAGAAAAGGAGTGGGGGTAGAAGGGGCTGGAATAGAGGCTAAAAAAGAGCACATCTCGGGCATGCACCATGGACTAGCCCCAGTCACGGGGCACTGGCCTGTCCTGGGTGATCAGTGCCTCTCCCAGCTGTCCCCAGCCTGTCCTGGCCAGTCCACGCCTGCCCAGCTGTGCCCGGCCTGTTCTGGCCAGTCCACGCCTGCCCAGCTGTCCCCAGCCTGTCCTGGCCAGTCCACGCCTGCCCAGCTGTCCCCGGCCTGTCCTGGACAGTCCACGCCTGCCCAGCTGTCCCCAGCCTGTCCTGGCCAGTCCACGCCTGCCCAGCTGTCCCCGGCCTGTCCTGGCCAGTCCATGCCTGCCCAGCTGTCCCTGGCCTGTCCTAGCCAGTCCATGCCTGCCCAGCTGTCCCCGGCCTGTCCTGGCCAGTCCACGCCTGCCCAGCTGTCCCCAGCCTGTCCTGGCCAGTCCATGCCTGCCCAGCTGTCCCCGGCCTGTCCTGGCCAGTCCACGCCTGCCTAGCTGTCCCCGGCCTGTCCTGGCCAGTCCACGCCTGCCCAGCTGTCCCCGGCCTGTTCTGGTCAGTCTGTGCCTGTCTAGCTGACCTCACAGAGGCCCAGTGGTGAAAGTGACGGCAAGTGTGATATCCTGAGAAGCCAGAAGCAGGACCCCAACCCAGATGTGCCCCCGACTGCACTCACACACACACATCTGGGTGTGACCCCAGCTGCACACACTCACACACACACATCTGGGTGTGGCCCAGCCTGCACTCACACACACACACACACATACACACACACATCTGGATGTGACCCAGCTGCATACACTCACACACACACACATCTGGATGTGACCCAGCTGCACTCACACACACACACACACATCTGCGTGTGGCCTGGCCTGCACTCACACACACACACACATCTGTGTGTGACCCAGCTGCACTCACACACACACATCTGGGTGTGGCCCAGCCTGCACTCACACACACACACACACATACACACACACATCTGGGTGTGGCCCAGCCTGCACTCACACACACACACACATCTGCGTGTGACCCAGCTGCACTCACACACACACACACACACACATCTGCATGTGGCCCAGCCTGCACTCACACACACACACACACACACATCTGTGTGTGACCCAGCTGTACTCACACACACACACACACATCTGCGTGTGACCCAGCTGCACTCACACACACAAGCACACACACACATCTGGGTGTGGCCCGGCCTGCACTCACACACACACACACATCTGTGTGTGACCCAGCTGCACTCACACACACACACATCTGCGTGTGACCCAGCTGCACTCACACACACTCACACACATCTGCGTGTGACCCAGCTGCACTCACACACACACACATCTGCGTGTGACCCAGCTGCACTCACACACACACACATCTGCGTGTGACC